CAGGTGACCCTTAATGGCCACCAACCCGTCACAACATCTACACACTCCATTCCCTAGCAGGGACTTCTAGCCCTTTTAACAGATAAGGAAACTGAGGCCCGAGGTCCCACAGCTAGTTAATGATTTGGCCAGGCCTGGCAACCAAGGCCATGTCTCTGGCTACTCCTTGGACCGTGAGACTGACCCCTCTTATTCCCAGCTGCTCGGTTTCTGCCTGGGCGGTGGTTAGAAGCCTGGAGGGGAGAGGGGGCAGACCCACTTCCTGCCTGGTTCTCACTGCTGCATACCAGACTCTGCATCTGTCTGCTCTGCATATATGTCTCTTTGGAATTGGAATTTCATTATATGTTAACACAATAAAGGAAAATGACTTGCAAGGTCATCGAGGCTTCCTGTAGTTTTTCTTCTTTTGGTACCGTGTTCCCAACAAAGGATCTCTGGCTCCCAGAGGAGATCGATGCCCACCTTAGGGACTCAGTCTGGGTGGGGGGAGCCACTGCTTGCCCTCTTGCCCTCGGGATCTCTGCTCTCAGTGGGTGGACACAGCCTCACAGGACTCCATCTGAGCAACACAGGGTCCTGCACCTAATAGGGACCACTTTTGCTTCTGGAGCCTGAAAGGACTGAAGCGTGACAGCCCCATCAGTCCCTCTGCCCTCCTGGGAGCACGGCCCAGGGAGCACCAGGGGCTGATCAGCTGTCCCTCCCTCTGTCCCTCCACTCACATTTCTGACCCCACCCACACCTGTGTTGGGTAATGGGACCCAAGGTTTTGCCGGGAGCTTGGCCATCAGAACCGAGTGAAGCTGTGCCCGGCACAGGTGATGCTCAGGTGGCCGGTGAAGGGTGGTGACCTGTGGTAGCTAAGAGCGGGGAGCAGCCCAGTCCCTTGAGGCCTTGTGGGCTTTTCAGCCCCCATAAAGCATGTACCACACATAGTGAGGATGTGCACTTTTCCTGTGGAAGAAGTCTGTAGCTTTAGTCAGATCCTAAGGTGTCTGCCCAAGGCAGAAGAGAAGCGAGGTCAGAGCAGGCTGGCCTCTGCCTTGAGGGTGACAGGGAACCGTGAAAAGCCCCCTCTGTCTATGCTTCTTTCACCTGTCCTCAAGTAGCTCCAAGGCCGCTCTGGGCCCTCTGGAACTCACAAAACCCTTTCCCCCATTCGGGGCCTCTCTCAGTCGTTGGAGGCACAGCAGGTGTGGTTGTCCTTATTTGGCAGAAAGGGAGGTGGATGCTCAGTGAGACATGCCCCAAACTCAGTGAGACAAGTCTGTGTCAGGCTGAGACTTGGACACAGACTCCTGATATCCACCTCTCTGCCCCCTGCATACACACTTAGGGCTGGTATCTCAAAGCAGGGACTATATTGGGAAACTGAGGGCCCCATAATAGGGAACAGGCCCTATTCCAATTAGCGGGCTTGTAGATCCCACAGAGGCCTGGAATCTGGAAGTCTCGGAGGACCATCAACCTTCTAGAAATCTCATCAGGCCAGAGGTGTGGGCTGATCGGGGGAGGGGTGTCTGCAAAGATCCTGGCATCCCAACACTGCTCCCGGGAGACACGTGGTTGCTGCCTCCCTCTGGTGGAGGCCTGGCTGATGGTAATGCAAGGGTGTCTAGACAGGGCCAGGGGCTAGGTCACCCCAGTGATGGCTGAGTCAGTACTGTTGGAACAGGCTTTCTTCTTCCAGTGTTTTCTGGGCCCCTGTAAAGGGCATCTGTGCTGTGTCAGCCCATGTAAAGTGCCCCTGTACCTCCCAGGCTGAGGACAGGCTGGTGTGAGTGGAGGGTGATGGTTATACTATGAAAACAGGATATGGGCTAGCCCACTGCAACCCAGGCCCACCTGTGAGGGTGTGCCAAGGCTATCTCTCACAGCCCTTCTCGGTTTGTCTCCTTATCTTGACCCATCTCCCTAGGTGAGAAGCCCTCTCAGTCCCCACCAGGGGCCCTGGGAACCCTACCTCAATCCCTGGTCTTCCTTCACCACCCCCAGCCATCTAGGACAGGGCTTTGCTTAGGGATTATTTAGTTATAATGTTTACAACCCTAGTGCCAAGAGACAGGACCTAAAGAACAGATCAGGGAACTGGTAGTTCTTGAGCACTTACTTTGTGTGAGAAACTTCCCTGGGTCTTCACATACAGTCTTTCTAATCTTTATAACACCCTTGGAAGGTAGAGATGACTGCCTGCCCCTGTTTACAGAGGCCCCTGAGGCCCCTGAAGACAAAATGATTCACCCAAGGCCATAAAGCAAGTTGGTGGCAGAATTGGGACTTGAATATGCTCTTCCTGGTTCCAAAGATTGGCTTCTGGTTTCAAAGATTCCTCCACTATGTGGTGCTGGCCTGTTTTGTCATGACCTCCATGAAGTTTGGCTCTGGTCCAACTAGGCAGCCGGTCTTCCTCTACCTGCAGGATGTTGAGAGTGAGAAGCAGGAAGGAGAATGGCCAGCTGAAGGGACTCCAGCACCAGGAAGAGTGCATTTCATTTTGGAGCCAGCTGGACATGGTGTCTGCTTGAGACACACAGGCACCACCTGGTCCCAGGCAGCTCCACTGACAATGGCCCTATCCCAGCCTCCCCAGAAGCCCCTAGGCCTGACTGCCCCTCTATCTGGAGGAAAATATCTGATAAACTTGCTTGTTCAGAGGTTACCCTCTATCACCATAGTATATGAGAAGGGGAAGGGCAAAGCTGTACCTTGAGGGAAAATGATGCACTCTGAAGGAGCCTCAGATGCCCTTTCAGGCCTGGGGCAAAACCTTTGGGGCTTGCCTGTCCCGGACTTCCTCTCATCTTCCAGTCCATGGGTTCAGTGCTCCAGGTACCTCAACCCCCAAGGGTCATCCCCACTCTGCTCTGCTCATGTTCTGCCCAACCCAGCACAGAAAAAAGGTGAAAAACTGGAACTGGAGTGAGGCAACCAGAGCCCTTGTCTGTTTTCTTCATCAAACTTTAATGGAGAGAGTAACTTTCCTGGAAGATTCCATGACTCAGCCTTTGTCCCCAGCTGCCGAGCATTCAGGTGACTACACACGTGAAGTGCTTTGGTGGAGAGCATCCATCACACCCCTTCAGCTGCGTCCCTGCTGAGATTAGACAACAGATGGCTTCCTCCACTGGACTCCCCCATGATCTAATGGAGACTTGCATGTGGAGGTGGCTCAGTGGGCCCGGAAGGTGGTGCCCTCTGCACTTGGCCCAGAGGGAAGCAGGATGTAATTTGGCAGCCATTGAGTCCTAGATTATTTGTCCCTTCATTAAACTCACAAGAGCAAAACGTTGTGGTTCCACAATTGCCCCACCAGTTCTGAGGCCAAGGAACCCGGGTCTGGATTGCATAATTTTCCAAAGCCCTTCTGAGGGAACATCAGCCAGAGGCCTGTGATGGATGTTCAGATCAACCTGAAGGTGCCTTTGTGCTACACATATGTATGACCTCAAGCACTGGGTCGATCCATTCTGGGTTTCTAAATATCCAGGAATTTGGGATCTTTGTAGACCCATAGTTCCCTTTTGATATTTCCCTTTCTCCTCCAGGAATCAGACGGATTCCTCTTTCCAGACCCTGGAGGGGTGCTGAATGGTCTATGGGAGAAGAATTGCTCTGGACTGAGGTCAGTAGCAACTGGTCAGACATAGATGCCATGAAGCCTCGATGGGGTTGGTGGCCTGTGACTCAGGCCCTGATCCCAGTGTCATTATCCACCTCAAAAGCCCACATGGGCTCGAAGAGGGCCCAAATGAAAGGGTGTGGGTGGCTCAAGGCAGCCGTTTGCCACTTGGCCCCAAGGACCATGGTCCCTTTTGGGGATGGTTCTCTCCCTTTGGGGGTTCTCAGGATGGTCCTCAGCATCCTTGGAACCAAAGCCAGGGGCTGGTCTGGAAAAGCACTGGAGGAACTGATGACAGGGGCCCCTTCCCTTGGCGTGGCCCAGCCTCGTGCTGACCCATTAGGATTTTTCCATCACTCCTGGAGGTCACACCTTCACTGGTCAGGAGCCTCTCAAGGAGGGGGATAGTGATTAATGTTTTATGGACGAGCTGCTGGGCATGATGCCTTGTTTTCTTTAGGTTTAGAATACAATGAAGACGATGAATGGAATTTGCTGTGAGCTGGGGGCCAGGGTGGGGCAATTCTTAGGGACTGAGGACCCACAGGTGGTGATGTTTACTGTCCTTCCTTTAGTGCTGAAAAGGGGGTAATTCTCGAGGTGGGAAAGGCCGGTGAGGTTTTTGCCTACGGGGCCATCATCCCCAGACCTTAAGTGACTATTGGTTCCCACCAACACTTTGGGCTCTGGGTGTGCAGAGAGGCCACTGGTGAAGTGTACCCCCAAATTTTAATGAGCTCGTTCTGCTCAGGTGATTCTACTTCATTCCGATAAAATCACATTCTCCGCATATAGGATTTTGCTTATTTTTCTGTTCTTTCCAGTGTATTGATGGGGAACGAGATGAGGACAAACTGATCTCCAGCCATATGGGTCAGTAGGGTCTCACCACTTCTTAAATATCAAAATGCTTTCATCTATTCGGAGCTCTTCATGTACCCCTCCTCACATCTGGCCTCTCTGACTACCCTGTGCCTTCTCTCATCCCTCGTCTCCTGTGGACCTCTCCATAACCCAGTGCTTAAAAGGTTAACCCATCAGTCGGGGGCCTCAAGGACCTTATTTAGCACTGAAGTTGTGGGGTAGATCTGCTGGATTACCACGTGTGGCTGTTATATACTTTGCATATCGTCTCTAGTAAAGAGAGAAATATGCAATTCATATATACAGAGGTCCAAGGTCTAAGTTAGAAAGTGTGGGTGTGTGCGTATGTGTGTGTGTGTGTGTGTGTGTGTGTGAGAGAGAGAGAGAGAGAGAGAGAGAGAAGTAGAGACAGAGAGAGAGAGAGAGAATGCACTCCTGTAATACTACTATATTTGGCGTCGTCCTCTGATCTGTCCTGAGAACCTTCGCAGCAATTCTCACTCATGGGAGAACCATGGCGCAGCTTTGGGTAAGTGCACAGACCCGGCACTCTGCCAGTTTTGCAGCCTAGCCCACGACCAGTCCCTACAACATAGTCAAAGGCTGGAGGAATGTCCTCAGCCCACAGTCGTGTCCACTAGGTGCTATACTTGGTTTGCCTAAAGCCAGCCTGACCCCATGTAGAATATTAGCTCGAAAAGGCTGGCCTGGCTTGTGTTCGTTAAGGGGAAACTGGCATATATTTTTTCTACAAGCTAGTAAGCAAATAGATCTTTAAGTTGGAGGGAGAAAGGTATTGTCTTTGAGGAGAAAAATGAAAGGGAAGGAGGGAGGAAGGGAGGAGAGAGAAAGAGAAAGAGACTCTCAAAGAATTCAATAAATGAGTCCAGACCGCTCCCAAAAGCAAACCCCCAAAATTCATAAAAATGCAAAAGTTCTCAAGGATGGCAGCCTACCATTTATAGCAGTCTGGAACATTCTAGATGTGGCCAATATGCCCCTGGCATCTTATTTAACACAAGGTTTTGGGGTTTTTTTAAACATATTTTTCATATAATGCAACATAAATAGATAGGAATAACTTATGCCTTGAAGGAACTCAAATGGAAAAGCCAAGCAAATGAAACTTACAATACCAAGAAACTTACTTGTAATCACCTGTTTAAAGTTTCCTGTTGAGGGTGTTCACGTATTCTGAATATCACTTCGGTGTGTGTGTGTGAGGGACAATGATGTCAAGCCCCTAAAGCAGGAACCAGGAAGGCCTCAGCTGCCGGAGGAACCTGCTGCAGGGTCTTCTGGATTGTGCAGGCTACAATGCCAGGTGATGACGTGACCGACTCAACAACTTTTGTTATTTGTTTGAACTCCTAGGAAACCTCCCTTAAATGGAGCTTGAGATTTTGAACAATATGAGGGCACTGTACGCAGGCCCTCAGAGTAGACGGGTATCTGTTGGATTCCCGGCAGAGGATGTCGAACTGCCTTCTGGGAAAAAAGCAAGTTCCTGGGAGGGTGGTAGAGACCAGCCCCCACCCCCTTTTCCCTCCCCAAATCAGGGCTGCTTGCTTGGATAGTTAGACAGCAGGTACTGTGGTGGGGGTTTTCTTTTTCTTCTTTCTTTCTTTATTTCTTTTTCTTTCGTGTGTCGGTGAGAATTTTTTTTTCCAGTGAGAAATGTATACTAAATTATATATTTGATAAGAATACTGGCAACCTCTATTTTCACATAACATGTTTCCTCAGCAGACATTCCTTGGGAAGCCAGACACTGGGAGGTGAGTTCCATGCTGAAGAAGATGTGGTGAGGGTCGAGCTGGGTTCGTGTCTCGCTGGCTCAGGACGTTGACCAAGGCTGGCTTTGGAGAGGCAGCCTCTCCTGTGGTCATAGGGCACACGGCCCCTTAACCTCAGCTGGCCACCTGGCATTGCTGGCTGTCAAGCGGGTGCCTGCGACTCTGGAATAAACACTCATGATTTCCTACATTCACCCTCGTTTCTGGGTCTCACAAAGACAGGGCAGTGCAGGCATTTCCCAGGCCTCTGGACACCCAGATCTTTTTGTCTCCTGCCTCACTTCACTCCTCTCTCCTGCAGACCTGAAGAGGTGTCTCTGTTCCATACCCTGTGAGAAGATTCCTGGGCTCTAGGGAGAGGATGGCTCTGTTAAACTATTCGTGAAGTTCCAGGAGTCACTGATGCACCTGGATCGTGACTGATGGGCCAGTGGCACCTTCCATCCGAGACGAACTCCAAGAATTTCCGCTGCTGGCAGTGACCTCCCGGACTGGGAGGATCAGCTGCATCTGCCTCCAGGAATGTGGGACCTAGAGACACCAAACCTAGGAAGGCCTCCATGGGGCCCGAAGCTTTAGTTCTAGAAAATTCCGAGGGCTCCTAGCTCCCTCACCCATTTCCCTCCTTCTCCCTAAATGTGAAGGCACCGCAGGCTACCCTTGAGATTTTCTGGAAATGGAAAATGAGAAATCCTAGAGAGTTAGATTTGAAACCGAATTTAGTGGCCGTGGGGATTTTTACCAGCTGGTGCTATCCACATGCTTGACCAAGGGCTGGGTGAATGGCTTAGGTAGGTCACCTGAGCTTAGATGGATCACCTGCTCCCTCCGGTCCTTGCAGAATGGGAACCCCAGCTCCTGGAGCTGTTGACTGGTTTTCACGGTGATTAGGCTAAGTTTGGAGACCGTATCACTCATCACAGAAATTATAGTAGAGGCTCTGACAAGGCCTGCAATTAAAAATACACTTATTTAGGCCAGTGTTCACCAAACTTATTTGTCCACAGACCTTTCTTTTGGAAGTAACTTGTATTACTGTTTTGAAGAACAGGTTTTCTATAGAACATATAGTAAATGTGAGCCTGGGCATTCTTTCTGAGGGCCCTGCAGCTTTTGGATTCTGCTATTTAAATCCTCAGGATGGCTGAGTTTATCAAGACATCTCATGAGGGCAGGTGTGAGGGACGAAGGAGGAGAGAGATGTTCTGAGTTCAGAGTCAGGGTGCTGGGGACATGGGGGGAAAGAAGAGGCAGATAAGAGTGTGCTTGAACCTGTGTGTGTGAGAGACAGGCAGAGAGGGAGGGGGGTAGGTGAGAGATAGAGGTGGTCGGTTATCAAGAGAGGCAGAAAGATCACAAAGGTTGAGAGTCACAAAAAAAGAGGGAGAGGACTGGGGACTGGGGATGGGCTGTGACTTCCCATCCCCAGAGCGACTTCCTCTGGCCCATCACTGATTAATCTCCACCTGCCTTGTCCTGCCACCCTGGGGCACTTGTACAGGAGCCAGCGGCAGTGCCTGGGTATAGCCAGAGAAGGTCTCCAGGAAAGGAGCCTCCATGAATCATTGACTGGCCTTCCTTTGTGCTGGAACCAGCTTGTGCTGGTTTCCATGCCAAGCTCCTGGAGCCATGGGCAAAGGTGGCAGAGGCCGGGGGTGAGCCCAAGCTCATCCAGAGCCTCCAGAAACAGGCCAATCTAGGGATGTCAGGATGGGCTCGGGACACCAGGGCTCCTTCCCGGCTACAGCAAAGCAGCAGCACCTCGGATGACTCCCTTCCCCTCTTTGCACCTCAGTTTTCCCATCCACACCGTGACGATTGTGTTGAGAGTCCTGAAAAGCCCTCCCAGGTCTAGGATTTGGCTCAGAAGCCTTTAAAACCTTGCAGCTGGAATCTCTCCCTGCACGTTGGCTTTGGGGTCTTATTCATACCCCAGCTCGTATCTCTGAGCCTTGTCCTAATGACGCCTGGGCTCTGTGCTTGCTTAGCTCTATTGTGGAGACACACACAGGGACCGAGGCCGTCGGCCTGTCGTCAGAAGCTCCAGCGTGCTTGGGGAGTCTCCACGTCCCCCCCGTGGCCAGCCAGGAGCCTGCCTCTGGAAGGTGCTGAATGTGGGGGCCCTCCCGCACCTGCTGCCTGTCCTCCCCATTTTCCTGTGTCTCTGCCGTGCTGTGGGATCCCAGGCACCCCCCCCCCCCCACTGCATTTCCACAGCACAGCCCTGGGAGGAAAGCCCGTGGTGGGTCAGTGAGGCACCCCCATTCCTGCGCCACTCAGCCCTGGTAGCGCCACCTGAGGTGCAGTCCCAGTCCCCGCCCGAGGGAGGAGGAGGTCTGCAGGAGCCCTCACGGGCCTGGCCCTCCTTCCACACGCCCTGGGGCTTATCCAGGTGGAAACACCATCTGGGCGCCTCAACCCAACTCTGGGGGAAGCCAGAGAGGCCCCTTCCCAAGGCTTAGCACTCCCGGGGGGACTATTTTCAAAGCCCAGCTACATCACCCCCCTTTCCTCCTGCAGTCTGCTAATCTCTCGTGGGCCCTACGGGGCAGATTCTGGGGCCCGATGGAGTGACGAGGGGTTGGGAAGGGACTCCTTAGCTGGCCAGGCTGGGAGTCCCGGGACAGCCACTTCTACGTGTGGGGGTGGGGCACCCAGGTGTGATGATGCTAGGAAGCCAGAGAGCCGTCAGGGGCGGTAGAGAATTGGCTTAAACCCCCACACCCATACTGCCATCCTCATGAAAAAGCTGGGATAACTGAGACCAGAGAGAAGGTGCCTTCCCAAAGTCACCTGGTGGGGAGTGGGGGGCACCTTCTTGGCTGGGCTGGAACTCTTCTATGGCTCCCTGACCCTCGCCTCTCTCTGGTTGCCTTTTACTGAGGCCATTTGTTATTTCAGCCTTTCTGTGGCCCTGTGACATGGTCCTAACCCATCTCTGCAAAGGCCTTTACAGCCCCTAGAGATGCCCTGAGTGTAGCAGGTGCCGAAGGCACGGCGGCCACACTCCCCTGGCTCCTGGCTCGGATACTAGCCCCTTCAGCTTGCCCACCCGTGTCCCTCCACAGTTACAGGGGGGAGGAAAACATTCCCTGAACAAAGGGGAAGGGAGGGAAGGGGTGTCCAGGGGATGGGGGCTTGCAGGCTGGACCCCGAGGGGCAGCCAGGGATGCCGTTTCCCCAGGCAGCGAGTGGAGGGACCTTGGGGCGGGCAGGGGATTGGGGGGAATGTGCTGGAGGGGCTGTTGGAGAGGAGACCAGCCTGGCGTGCCGAGAAAACTCCTTAGGCTGAGGCTCTTGGTGCCTGAGTAGTTCAAGATGGATCTAGGCTTTGGAGATTGGGATCCTGGGCTAGGGTCAGAAGGGCAGCAGGAGCCCTCAGAGTGATCAGTCAAGAGGCAAAGGGAAACCCATTTGGAATGTCCTGCCGTGTGTCTGACACTGAACAGGAACCTCACACGTATTGCTTCGCTTGGTACTCATAAATGAGCTGAGAGGTTAGGGATTCACTTGTTGATTCACCTGAGAAGTACTTACTGAGCTCCTACTGTTTGTCAAGCACTATTCTGGGTACTAGACTATTGAACAAAACAGACAATGCTTACATTTTATAGATGAAGAAACTATAAATCAGAGAGGTTAGGCAGCCGACTCAAAATTGCACAGCTAGAGAGGACAGAGTCAGACTCAGACCCATGGTCTGGGCCCAAGTTCTTTCCCTTTCTCCAAACTG